GTAGAATATGATTTATTATAAAATTTAATAAGCATTTTCTGATTTTAATAAATATTTTAAAAAATACTAACTAGTTAATATTTTATTACTTGAAAAATATTTTATGTTTTATATTATAAAGTAACTAATTTATTCTTTTGTTTTTATATTTTGTTAATTATTTTTTATAAATATTTTATTTGAAATATTAAATAGAAATTATTACTGGAATAATTTATATTAATATACTGTATTATATTAATATAATATACTAATATATTATTTTACTAATGTACATTAGTTGACATCTTGTCGACATAATAGGAAAAACTGTCTCTTTTGTGGTTATTTGGACCGATTTGGTCAACATTTCCGTAATATAGGAAATGTCGACCGAAATAATGTAATTTTTATATTACCATCCATTTTCATGTCGGTGAGCCTCGACATCGACATATGTCGGGCGACATTAGCGACATTTCACGACATTTGAAACCATGATAATTCTTCCTTTCTTTTTTTGTTGCCTCAAGAAGCTGGAGTTGAATAACCCTACCACATCTTGCGGGGGAACCCATCTGCAACCAAAAAGAGAGCAAAAGTATTCCCAAATACCAGATATAAAGGAACAAGAGAACAATGAATGGGGGAGAGTCTCACCATTCTCTTGCAAAGGAAACACATGTGAAGAGATAGACGCATATTTGGCTTGCTTTTCTATAATAAGTCGTAGGTATTGATCTTCCCAAGAAACACTTCCCAACACAGCTTTTACTTTAGGAGGTTCACCCCCCTAGGCTTGGTTAGAACAAGAATGCTAAAGAAAGAAGCACAGGTGAAAAAGCCGTCGGGCAATGGAGTCTGAACTCTACTATCTGAACTATTTTGGTCCATAAAGACTTTTTCCAGTTTATTTTCCATCATATGTAGATTAAAGAACAATTATAATAGGAGGGGTGTTGAGAGACAAAGAAGGACATGTCTTTGCTTTATTCTTGGGTCTGGTAGGTGTAGGGGGTTCCATCAGGGCCAATTTACTTGCTGCATTGCAAGGGGTACAGCTTTCAAATGAGTTGAATTTGATAAATATGGAGATTGAAGGGGACTCTAAATTGGTGGTAGGCTGACTGAAAAGGAACCAGAGTCTTTTATTTGGTGCTTTCAGGATGAGATGAAATCTGAATGGCTTACTAGAAGTATGAATTTGAGTATACAGTGGGTTAGGAGACTGGCTAGTGCGGTGGTGGACGCTTTTGCTGAGCAAGGGGTTAACAGGGATCATTTGTGTTGAGCTCAATTGTACTTTTCTTTTGTAATCATATATTAAACTGTGAGAGGTAGGACCTTTTGTAATTGTTTGTTTTTAATTTGTTTTTGCAAGTTTGTGAAAAAAAGAAATAATCTTATGATTTATGATATGATTACAATTGTTGGAACATTACTGAAGTGTGAACTGCTACTCCATGACCAGCCACCACAGACAAGACCAGCCCTTGATAGCCGCTCTCCTGGTCATCTATGTGGGAAGTTTTCAAAGAAGCCATTATCTTTTTTCTTTTTCGTTTTTTAGCAATGGGTGATTTTCTCTTTTGTAGTATATTATGTTTGCAATTCATTGATTATTTGGTTCAGCCAATATTTAGATATATCTCTTAATCTATTCTTTTTGTTTGTTGTTTTCTTTTTTCCCCTTAATATTTGGGCCAATTATTTTACTTCGCCTTGGTTCTAATTTATTGTATAGGTGCTTGATATTGAGAAGTTGGCTGCTGAGATGGGCTTGAAGTGCATAACTACATATAGGCTTGATGCTCTTAAAGCAGTCTGTAAAAGGAACCAATCAGCTGACAATGCCACAGAATATTGCAGTAAAGGAAAATCAGATATCACTTTTGCAAGTTCAAATACACTCAAGTTGTCAGCAAAAGATGCAGAATGTTTTACCATGGAAGAGTCTGATGCTGGGTTGACATGTGAGGGAGATAGTAAGTAATGCTGTTTCTCAACCTATTTTTCATTAATGAACTTTGGTTTTCTTTCTCTAGTGTGTGAGAGAGAGAGGGCAAAGACTAAAATATTGATACAATATGGCCTCTTTCATCCATATTGTATCTGTATCGGTGCACCCAGATATGCACGAATACACTGATGCACAGATATTTTAAAATCTTTAAAATATCCCAAAGCCTTCTCTCATCCCTCTAATGCCCATAAAATAAAAAAAAATGGAGTATCAGTGATATTGATACACTTAATACCCAACTTTGGGTGTTGGGCATATTGATATTTTAGTCCTTGGTAGAGGGAGAGGGAGAGTGAGATTTAAGAAAATCTAGTAATTAATATATAAAAATATGAAAAAAGTATATGCCTCTTAGCTAATCAATAAGTACCAAGAACAGTCCTTATCCAATGATGGTAGATATTTTGGGGCTGCTACACAGATGGGGAAATTTTTCATAAGTATGGTCAATTTTGATGAAATTGTCACCATGGAGTGGACTTATCAGTCTTTGAAGGCCTTTGATTGTCGTTCTCCAGGAATTTTGTTGGACTACTTGTGAAGGACTCATAAAATCATAAAGTGGTAGATTATGACACCTCTGAGGGCCCTTGACAACTGAGGCTCTTTATTAGAGAGGTGAAATCACTATTCACAAGGCTAACTCCTTCCAGTTGAATTTCTAGTGAGAGCGTGAAGGAACGTTTGTGTTAGGGCTACTCTTCATTGACATGGGAGTAGTGCTATGTGTTTTTTTTCCCACTTTTCCATCATCATTTGGTCCTCTCCCACCTTTTTCACTTTTTCTGTGTTTAGTACCTAATCTTTCTGTAAGATCTTGGAGGTATTATCCTTCCTTGTATCATTTTATTGCATTTTGTTGTCTTGTTATGGATAAAAAACATATTCTTCCATCCATTTTTTGTCTTTGCACAGTTTTATGATATAACCATCTCTCACCCTTTCAGTTGCCAATAAAAAAGCAAATCAACGATCTTATGTAAGCAAAGCTGACATCAGAAAGAATGCTCGAAGACTGAGAAATGGACCAGGAAGAAATCATTGCATGGGTGGTAGGGTTGAAAATTCAAAGGGCTTTCCTCCTAATAGTTTTGATCGTGTCCTTCTTGATGCTCCCTGTTCTGCTCTGGGTCTGAGACCTCGATTATTTGCTGCAGAGGTGAATATTTCTTGAGGAAAGTCCATATCATGTCATTTTTCACATTTGGTGAAAACAGATAAAAATGAATGAAATTACCCTAGTATTTTTTGCCTTTATTTATTGTGTTTGCTTTTTTACATTCATGGGTCTGAGATTCTAAATTTGGAATGTTGTTCTGGTGATTAGTCCTGGTTTATTCCAAAGAATCAGTTATTCATAGAATGCCTGTGTTGCATGCCAAGTAGGTATCATTCACTATGCCTTACACTTGTAATGCACCTCTATGGGTAATACATTCAGATAGCATCTAGAATTTACATGACTTTCTGTCCTGGATGTTGCTCTAATAATACAGATTTTTCCAATTTAGTGTACATGAAATACATTTTTTTTGATAGGAAATGGTGACTTTCGTTGATAAAGATCAAAAGAAAGTATAGGTCAGAAATTCTATTTACAATTCAGCCCAAAACAATTCTCCCCTATTTGTCCCTTGTTTTGGCTAGTGTATCAGCCAAATCATTTGCTGATCTTTTGATTCATCTAACAGATGCATCTAACTCCCTTGATAAACTTCTAATCTCTCCAAAGCTTGCCTATGGATCCTAATTCCAAAAGCTACCTGATTGTAATTTTTAACCACTCTATCACTAGTTTTGAATCTCTCTCCACTTAAATTTGTTGATAGCCCAGCAAGGGACACTCGTATTAAAAAGAAAAAATAAACCCTAAAGGGCCTAAACCATGCTCTAGTAGAGTGATTTCTGGGGGATGGTTCTCTGGTGCCCTTAGTGTGTGATTTCCCATGTTGATTGCTCGTCAAGAGGTTTGTAGGGGGTGCTGCCAGCAACTGCTTGGTGTTTCATGGTCACCATATCCTTGCCTCTTGGGCACCTCATTTTTCATAAAAAAAAAGAAAAACAAAAATGGAAGGATACATTTTATTACTTTTATTTTTGATTAATAACAGAAACATTTTATTAAAGATCATTAAAGTCACACATACAAAACGCCAAGGGGAGAGGTAAACTCTCTTAACCCTCCCCATAAAGATACTCAAGATTACAACAATGCCCAAAACAAACAATCCCTTCCCACCCCCTTGTTTAGCAAATGTATCAGCATTTCTTTTCACCCACTGAATTCTTATTTCCATTCCCTGGCCCATCCAATCAAACTTCCCTTTTTTCATTAGCATAACTCCAAAAACCATGTAGCCAATCTTGCAACTCAATACATCATGTATATATTATGAGTTTGAGGATAATGGCCATGTTAAAATGTTAAAATATGAAAAAAATAGCAAGGGACATAGCCCCATATATAACATTATGCATCTCTTCATTGCTGATACAAGTAACAATGCTATGCATCCTTTATATCCTCATTAGAGTGTGATGCCTTGCCAATCATTAGAAAAGTTGCTGAACATAAAATCTTCAAACTCTGTCAACATGGAAGATTAAAAGTATATTGTATGATCAATTTCGTTTTTTTGTGACCTCAAAATCCGGATAACTTTTGCCTTAAAAAAATCAAATTGTTCTCTTTCCATACACTCCAGCATATTAGAAAAGGACCAGTTTCCTAAGTAAATGACCTTCTCTAGGGAAGTCTTTTACAAGCCATGTTGGGATAAGTGAAGATACATTCCTTCATAGTTTTTAAGGTGCCAAGGCGAGGCTAGGCGACAGGGGGATGCCTTGTCGCCTAGTTGCCTAGGCGTTGCCGGATTTTTGTATGTAGAAAACATAGATCCTAGGGTAGTTCCCTAGGGCCTAGGTACCATAACCATATTTCCTTAATAATTATTCATAATTTTCACAAGAAAAGTATAGAGTTCATGTTAAAGTATAGAAAATCAAAATATTCATGAGAAGAAAATGAAGAAGGAGAAGAAAATTCAAAAAATATAGGCGCTGAACCCTTATTTTTGTTATAGGAAAAGAAGAAAAGAAAATGTGTTGATTAGACAAAATTTTAAGTTCTTCCTTACTTATTGGTTCAGGTGTTAAAGTCTTTGGGGGTTCAATACAGCATTTAGCAATGTTTATATTGATTAAGCCCTAACGAATAAGAAAATAATAAAAGAAATTAGTATATAAACACACAAAATGAATATTTTAGTTTAATAGKKSCYWWTTTWWWAWTWWA